TTATTACATTTAAATGTAATGTTACAGGATTATTACCACATAAATTCCTAATTTTTACGACAAATTGTAAAATTACCTTTATTTTCGTCTAATTTTTATATATTTCAAGTAAATAAACATTTTTGTTTGTAAAATTACTAATGTATTAATTATTGATACAACAAGTAAATTTAACGAACTAAATGTAAATATACTTTATTAGTCTTAATATTACAGGTTTAAATGTTTTTTAACATTCGGAGTGTAGTAAAAATCGCAAAATTACATTTCATATGTAACCGAAGAAGAAGCCTATTGGCTGGGAAGTCGCGCATGACTGCCGACGCATTTGTGTTTATATGTCAAATGATTTTATATGTCATATGACTTTATATGTCATATGATCTTTGTTTTTGCATATCGTGTTTTGCTGTGTGTTTACGGATTAATAATCGTTTTAAACGTTATAGTGGCAGTGGTTTTTATTGCAATTGTTATTGCACCTTTTTTGGACTTCATTGCAATTGTTATTGTACGTTTTTTGGACTTTAAATAAACGGTGAGTGTTTACGGATTAATAATCGTTTTAAACGTTGTAGTGGCAGTGGTTTTTATTGCAATTGTCATTGCACATTTTTTGGACTTAATTGCAATTGTTATTGCACGTTTTTTGGATTAAAACGGTAAATACAAAGATTAATTAATTATTAAAATTTAACTTTAAAAGCAAATATATCAGAAGTATGGCAACCAACATTACACTCAGGATTTTTTTTAAAATTTTATGCCCCCGTTAGAACAGTACTCCACTGTACCGTGACCTTCGATAGATTGTTTCGTACGATTGTGCCTGATGAGTCACGTTCATATATTGACGGTTTCTACTTTACATGGTTAGGTTTATATAATAAAGAGGTCCCTTTAGTAACTAGATTAACATTTAGCTAGAAAATAGACTTAAATTAGTTCCATTAAATGGTTTAATTTTGGTTTCGTTTATTATATTTTTTAAATACTGTTGCAAAAAGGACAATTTAAACATAAATCCTAATAAAAAAACAAACTGGAAGTTTTACTTTAAAAATTGTTAAAAATTTTGTTTTTTTTATTAAAAAACGCGTCAGGAATTCCAATTTATTAAAAAATTTGCTAAGCAATATTACCTATAGGTAATGTCTAAACATGAAATGTTTCGTTTAAAAAATAAAATTGGCTAAAAATTCTGAAAAAGATTACAACTTGATTATAAATTTTGTATGCCATTCAGCCCAAGACTTTTTGTGCTTCGCTCAATTCAAACTTTGAGCTCAGCACAAAAATACTCACTTCTTGTCCATATAACATAAACAAATATAATCTTCAAGCGTTCTATTATTATAACTTTATTATTGTCAACATTACTAAGTGAATGTTTATCGCCTAAGCTGTACAAATAATTAGACAAATTTTTTACTTCATAGTCTGTACAAAAACCGTTAGGACCAATAAAAAAATTCGGCTACCCTCAGATCTCTCTAACCTAACTTTCCACTTTTATTAATATTAATTAAATTGTACTAGGGATGCGCATCGAATACAAAAACATCGATGTTGGCATCGATGTTGACATCGAAGGTTGAATATCGATGTCATCGATATATCGGGTAGAAAACATCGATTTTTCCAAAAAATCGATGTTTCAAACTAAAACACAAGTCTAAGAAAAACATGCATAAAATATATTTATTTCCAACTTATAAAAAAATACACATAAAAAAAAAACAAAATAAACTTAAATTCTCTTTTTTTAATTTAATTTGTTATACAGTAACATCGCAAAGTCTAACATCGATGTCATTAAAACATCGAAAATGCAAGATCGATGTTAAAAAATCGATGTTCACTTCATTAAAATCGATGTTTGACGAACATCGAATATTCGATGCGCATCCCTAAATTGTACATTTTAATGTATCGTTTAAAAAAAAATGATACCTACCTTAAATATAAAATGTTGTATGCAATGCGGCTGATAAGTGTCTTTTTGTGCTTTGCTTAATTGTAGGCCGACGCACAAACAGACTCACTTCTCAACCAATGACATGATTAACTAACTATTACTCCAAAAATCTGACATCTTTCAGGCATTTCTAACCTAACTTTTTCCCAATTTAAAATTTATTGTTTCTTCCCAGGTAGCAAACTTACGTTATATTGTCACCCATAATATAACAAGTGGGATGATTATCATCGATGATATTTTCGAATTGAAACCGAGCTGCAGATTTCACGAGTCCGCAAGACGAGTGAAATGGGCTGCTTAGGTTTCAATGAGTAAATATTATCGATTATTAATCATTTCACGAGATATATTTAATTTTAATTTAAATTTTAATGAGAAAATATAATAAATTTTGGATTTAACGAAATGTCAGTTTGACATTTGAAATTAAAATGTGCTTTAAAATATAAAAAGACATATAAACCTAATTTATTAATATTATCGATTATTAATCATTTCACGAGTTATATTTAATTTTAATTTAAATTTTAATGAGAAAATATAATAAATTTTGGATTTAACGAAATGTCAGTTTGACATTTGAAATTAAAATGTGCTTTAAAATATAAAAAGACATATAAACCTAATTTATTCAAACTTGCCTTAATTTCATTATCGTTTACACCATCGATCTTTTAGAGTTTATAATTCATTATTTTAATCATATAACAAACACAGGATTTAAATTTTAACAAATGTCAAATTAAGGAAAGTGTCAAAATTCTTAGTAACGTGTAAACAAGGTGATAAAAAAATATTGTCGCTGTGATAAAATGCGTAACTATGGAATACTGGCATTTTATTGGTTCTAATATTAATGAATTGTATTGTCGTCATTATTAGGGCATTTTCCGTCGAGGACGTCAAGTCACCTATTATTCACGTTATATTCACGTCAAGTTTTTGACTAATATTCACGTCTTTTTTTGACTTTGATACCTAACAATAACGTCAAAATTTATCCAATACCTTTATACGTATATTTTAAAACCAAACTAAAAAGAACAAACTGTAGTTATGTTTTAATATTTTTAAACTTAGATACTTTACTGGTTTGCCGCCACAATTGGTTGTCCTGTTTAGTAATTTTTTTTTATTAATTGCTTAAGCAGTGTTTCCGTTTGCGTGTATTTTACTCAAAAGTCGGATATTTTCATATTGTTTGCGACTAAAATATTAAACGGGTAAGGCGGGTATTTCGCAAATTTCGATTAAAATACTAAATAAAGAAGTTTTCAGTACATAATATATACCTTTTTACTAAATATACATAATTATTGTACTCTATCATGCATGTTATAATTCTTTTTGATTACCTAATTCAAAATTTAATTTAGAATAGGGCAAATGCGCTATAAAATTTATAAGGATAACTATTTTTTTACTTTTGCAGTAAAATCGGCTATTTTGTAATTTATCTGGCAACACTGCGCTCAAGTTCAACGGTTCAACGTTATTCGCGTCCTGTGTGTCAGTTGTGAGTTTTTTAATTAATAATTTTTTTCAATTTCAATTGAATACGACGTCACTTATTAGTATATGTTTGACGTCTTACACCTCTGTCAGATGGGAATACTGTATGCCAGATTTGCGTATCCAAGATACAACAAATACATACATTTAAATGTATCAATTTATTGTATTTTTAATATGTAAATCTCGCATGCAGTTTCCCTTTTTGAAAGAGGTCTTAAATTGGTAATATTATGACGTTCAGTGACGTTGTGAAAACACGTTCGACGTCGTAAAATTACGTCTATCGACTGACGTCTGTGGGCTGTGACATATTCATAATTTCGTCACATCGACGTTAATTTTTGGTAAAATTTGACGTTTTATTCACGTCACTCTGCTACCTGAGTTATTATTTAATTTATTCGACTTTTGAATAAAATATTGTTTATTTTATGCGTACTAAAGTGACTTTTTGTGGCTCGTCTGTGTTTACTGGACTCGCAGCAGACTACAGCATGAAGCCTACACAAGGAGTACGAGCTTAATAGGTGGAATTCCACCATGTGTCAATTAATTGACACATGGTACTATGGAATCGACAGAACCTGCCTACCACGATCTAATCTAATCTACAAAAAAATAAGAAAATGACAAAATTTACACCACAATACTCCCAATACATATTTTTTAACTTTTTTTTTTGTAATAAATTTTTTTTTATAGAATTATTAATATAAACAGTGTACAAAATAATAAATTTATTATAGGAAATAATTATCGAGAATATTTTTCATTGAAGGTTTTCGTCGATTGATATATTTTTTTAAATGTAAGTAGAAATTAAATTAAAGTTTTATTTTGTACTCACGTCTGTTGTTTTCGTTGTTCGTACTCCTCGTGTATGCTTTATGCTCTACAGACTCGTCTTAAAAAGTGACACTTTATTGTGCTGAGGTCAAAGTTTTAAAGACCGACGCGTAGCGGAGGCCACCAATTGAGCGAAGCACGAGGACAGAATATTTTGTTGGGTCCAAAGTAGTAAGTAATGAATTTTATGTAACCCCTGCCTAAAAACGTGAATAATGGAACTTATTATTCACGTTGTATCAGTGATTGGCCGATTTTAATATTCACGGTGATTTGAACCAATCGGGTTTTAAATTGAGAGAAGAGGACTATAATAATATTTAAAATTGGTAAAAAGTGATGTTGACCATCTGACATTATTTATTTATTTTTGAAAATCATTTAATTATATACATATTAGAGTAGTATTACACTCGAGATTATGTAGTATTACATACGAGATTATGCGCATTATTAATTCGGATGATTTGAGTCTCTCGTCTGGCGACTCAAGACGCAAACCTCATCCTCGGAAATAATAGTCTGCATTATATCTCTTATAATATTATACTATTTACGGCCTAGAACATAAATAATCTAACCCGATAAAAGATAAAATAATATGCTATTTTTTATATGTTTTGCTGATGTCATTACTACCAATTGTACTCTGTTTTAGTTGTCAGAGCTTCTTCTATGAATGAAAGTGACTTTTCTCAAAAATATGATCAGTATTCAAGCAGACCAAGACCTGGAACTTCTAGTAGCAATAAAATAGGTTTACTAATTGATCCACCACCATCATCCCAAAAGAAAAGTGTACCCACATCTAATGATTCCGAATCCCCAGACCTTATATCGTTTTCTACAACACCTCATAACACCAAGAAAATTATAAATATTAGTAACCAGCAAACGTAAGTATTAATTACAATTAAATTAAAATCTTGTTTATTTTAATTAATATTCATGCCATAACTCCCTAAAGTGCAGTATATTTTTCATCAAAACTTAATAATTACAATCGTAAGAATGTTGTTGCCTTTTTAGTCTCTAATTAACATAAAGCAAAATACTGTTTTAAAATATTTTGTTTTTTTAAAAATATGGATAAATAAAAGTATATAATATATTATATATTTTTTTATGTTTTCAAACTTTCATAACGTTACCCTATAACGTTGCCATCGCTTTATTAAATATTTTTTTGGACATCAATTTTATAACCTGAAAACACTTGTCTCCGCGTTTTTCAATCTTCTTCTTCTTCTTCTTAATTCTGAACACAATTCTGTGTTCAGAGGAATGACCTTTAGCTTAATTTAAAAGCTAAATTTTAAAAAAACAGTGGGCACTGCCCACTGGGCAGTTATAAATAACATCACAACTCTTAAGTCAAATAAAAAAGAAAATTGTAGTCACTTAATAGTAAATAATTCTAATATAACATTAACACCTGACAGTTCATAATTTCAATCAGTACTTTTCAACAGTAGGCTCAAACATAATAAATTCATTAACCTCAAATAATAAAACTAGATTTAACAAAACAAACAATCAAAACACAATGTATGTCAAGGCAACCAATAACCAGGAGATATTTACAGTTATAAAAAAAATTAAAAAAGGCTCAGCTCCAGGCGGACACGATATTGTTGTTGAGGATCTATTGATTATTATTGACCTTATATTGCCAATTATTACAAAACTGACAAATCAAATTATTACAACGGGGATATATCCTAAAGAGCTAAAAATTATTAGAGTTATTCCAATCCATAAACAATCAGATACCACATCACTAGAAAACTATAAGCCTATATCTGTAATAAGCATCTTCTTTAAAATTGTCGAAAAAATCATTAAAATTAGAGTATTAAAAATTATACAAAAACACAATTTAATTGATAGTTTTCAGTATGGATTCCTGGAAAACTCTTCAACTCAAAGTGCTCTGGTAGATTTCGCTGATTACGTTTGTAACCAACTTGATAAAAATAAATATGTTGCTACTGTATTTGTCGATTTAAAAAAGGCATTTGATGTTGTGGACCATGAGGTGTTATTGGATAGAATGGAGAGTATGGGTCTCAGAGGCAAAATATTATCAATAATTAATTTATACCTAACAGACAGACAACAGTATGTAGAAATTAATAAAACCAAAAGCGCACTGGCAAGAGTTCCCTGTGGTGTTCCACAGGGGTCTGTACTATTTCCCTTACTATACTAAATCCATGTCTTAAGTCTTAAAGAAGCCGGACTGTTAGCCCAGTACTATACATTTGCTGATGATACCATCCTGGTCTACAGCAGCGAAGGCCTTCACAGTCTAGAAATGGCAGTAAACAACGACCTTAAAAGATACACTGATTGGTTAGAATGGAGTAAACTTAAAATAAATGTGAATAAAACTACTTATATGATTTTTAAACAAAAAAACAAATATTTTCGTGAACTACACATTACCCTAAATGATATCAAATTAAATAGAGTCAAATACACAAAATACTTAGGATTAATAATAGACGAAAATCTAAGTTGGAATAAGCATATTGAGTATTTAAGCAATAAAATAATTCCCATGGTGGGTGCAATTTATAAGTGTAGAGACTACTTAGACAAAAATTCAAAATATAACATTTACTATGCTTATTTTTATTTAATTTTAATTTATTTGATTCCGATTTTGGGTACTTGCTCAACAATATTATTTAACAAAATGCAAAGACTGCAAAATAAAATCATTAAAGTAGTATTTAATATTCCATATCTAACAGCAACCGAAGAAATATACAAGAAATTAACTATTAAGCCACTAAAAACTGTAAAAAAAATTGAACAATGTAAATTAGTGCATAAAACAATCAATACAAAACAAAAAACTAATCATAATTTTATATTATGCAAAGAGATTCATGATCATAATACTAGGAACCAAAGCAAAATTTATTTAACAAATACACATTCTAATATAGGTTTGAATAATCCAATAAATCGTAGTGTGGAAAGTTATAACATTTTACCCCAATCAATAAAAAATAAAGATCTTAAAAAAAAAAAAATTGGCCAGCACATTATATTATTAAAATTTTCTTTATTATTATCAAGGGTCTTATTTAAAAGAATCTGAGATTAACTCATCCCTTGAATCATTTATATATTCTTAATTATTTATCAATTTTTATAGAACCATGTCATCTTTTCGCTTCACTATGTACACATGGCTTCATACACAGAATTTCCCAATTGTCTTTAATCTTTCATCCGATCCATCTCTTAGTTATTTCCATATATTTTTACAAATTCTTGATTAACCCTTAACTAGTCGCGCAGGTGCACTGAGTGCTCCGTTTTTATTAAAACCTCTATAACTTTTCGTCGTTTTCTTGGAATTAAATGCCCTTTCCATGTAACCTATGACTGATGTGTCGACGGCATATTCAGTTTAAACTACTAATTTCAAAGTTATGGACAGAAAACTTGAGATTGATTTAGAAATACTTCACTAAAACGTAACTAAATTTCAATTTTTGCAATGTAAAATATTTCTAAATCAACAAAATATGGAATTTAAAACCTAATGGTTTTTAAGGTATACATTTTTCTAAGAATACACAAATAAAAATAGAACGGCTAAATTTCATTCTGATTTCTTCTTTTCTGAGTAGAAGTAATAACTTTTTTGTTTGTTTTATTTTTTGTTATTTGCTTTTTGTTTCTTTTTAAAATAAAAATTGTGTTTTAATAAAAATAGAGTTAATTCATCCGAATATAAGCAAAAGTAATATTAAAATTGAAAACATTCAGCAATATAGCCATTTTAAGGAGCGGAGCAATTAGTGCACCGCGCGACCACTTATGTTAAAAAAATTGGCGCGAGTAGTTAAGGGTTAATACCAGTTTGTTTTTACACTGGGAGTCCGATTTTGCCTCTCCTGAGTCGAGAAGTCACTTATTTTTCATATACTCTTTCATAGAGCTACCGACGACACGAGACCCAAAACCGAACTGTTTTTCAATCTGGGCTGAGAAAAAGAACCACGAAACAGGTATCATTGTAGTATCTATGGCAGGGGTCATAGATTAAAAAGGTGGTGGTGGTAACCCGAGATAAGGGAGGAACAGTCGAACGATTCCCATATAAACATTGGAAATAATAAATATGGCCCCCTCGCCGGGGGCTGCGAGAACTAGCGCAAGGAGTGGGGATAGCTAAACTAATATTTTTTGTTTGCTACAGTTACAAAGTAGTATCTAGTAGGTAATTACTATGTTGAAAAAATAAAAAGTCAAAACTATTTGATTTACAACATATAAACGAATAACAAACAGGAGCAAAAACAACATTCAGTATCAGTATCGAAACACATTGTGAAGTGCCATTGAGGATAAGATCTTTCTCTATACTGATTGTAGTTTACCGTCCTTCCAATGAAAATTACGGTGTGTTTGTTAATGTCATGCAGGGCTGGTAAGGGTGACTGGGACGGGTAGACTGGTCATACCCTGGCGAAAATAAAGCGTGCATAAAAAGTGTGCAATAAGTGTGTATTTGGAGTGCAAGTCTTTATAACAATGTGCATGAAATAATTAAGTTTTTTTACTCTTTATGCACATTGACATCACGCTTTTTATTTATCATTTGTCACGCTTATACAGGGTCGTGCAACAGTGCGTCGGGCTGTCCTAGCGCCTTTCCCGTGGAGAATAGAAAAAAATTTCTCATATAAAAAATTGTTGGTTTGAAAATCTTTATGCCGAGAAATTATTTTCAATAATAGAGGGTGTTAAATTTTTGCGGTTTAATAAAAACATGCATTTTTTAAATGGAACACACTATATTTATTTAAGTTTTCCGATGACATTTTTAGCCTCTACATTGTTGTCTATTTACTTTTTAATTATGCTGAACTGTTGCCAATTTAAAAAAAATCCCCAAAAATCTTGCAAAAGCAAGCTGAACTTTAAAAAATCTTTTCAGTTTTTAAAGGTAAGAATAAGTTTTAGCAACAATCCCAGTGCAGTTAATAAGCATTATTTTGATTATGAGCAATTTAAATTTAGTAATACAGGGTGTTCGGAAATAAATGCCAAACTTTGCAAACTTCAGAGTGGTTTAACTAATTTTTTTTTCAAATGGAGTGCCCTATATTTTATTCTATATTTTATTCTATAGGTCTTTTTCTCCTCTCACGGTAGGCCTGAAACCAGTCTATATTGACCATATTAGCACCACGTTTTTTATGACATATTTTGAAAATATATATTAAAATAAACTCAATCACCCGTTTATAGCAAAATTACCCGAGCCGTTTCGTTGGAAATCGAAATTTAGGGCAAAAAATCACGAAAATAATTAATTTTGCTTCAAAGCATTTATTAAGGTTATTAAGTGTTATAATGACATTATAACAATTAAAATCGAGTCCTCCGGGCGAAGAGACTTTACTATTTTTCCGTCAGGTGGCACTACAACGAAAAGACATCTGTCAAACTGTCCACTTTACGGACATAGTTGCTGAACTACACATTGAGCTTATACGCTGCCGAATAGTTTATTGTCAAATGCTGTACCTTATAACAATGAACGTTAAAATGATGTATGTGAAAACTCATGCTGGGACCCATGAAGAAAATCGCGAGTTTGATTGTTATGTTTCAAAAAGAAGACGGATATGCGAAAAATTACTGGAACTCTTCAGAGCGCGGTTCAGGACATTTTTCCTTTTAATCCTGAAGACAACCGTCTTTCACGACTCATATTCTGTGCTTGCAAAATAGGTATATATTTACCCAAAAAAGGATCCGAATTCGTCTACTGTTCAGATACTCAATTTCTACATTTCCTTCTTTACGAAAACATACAAGGAAACAATATAAAATAAAATGTCAGTGCAAATTATGTTTGTACGAA